CTCACAACATCTGTTAGTCAGTTTATTTATGCAGGTTGGTCTGTACCACTATCCTGCTTCTGTTTATTTAATGGCCCGTTCTCTGTATGTGTAATTTTTTACATTCCTATTCACTCCAGGCCCCTACTCACTAGAGGGCTGACTGATTAGCTCGGTGATTTAGATTTCTGGCTGCAGAGCCAAAGGTTGGGAGTTTGATTCCCTGCTGTGTCTCCTGTAAGTCGAGTCAGCCTATGTGGCTTTGGGCAAGCTGCAGAGTCCCCCAGAAGAAGGGAATGGTAAACCACTTCAGAGTTCTCTCTACCAAGAAACCCTGAAAAGGTCTGCCATAAATCAGAACCGACAATGGCACGCAATTATTATACTCACTAGTATCTATTAAGAGGTTAAACTGTTCTTTTGTATTTGGCTTGGGCAGACTTTTCTTCACCACACGTGTTAATTTGCTAATCTGTGCTAGATGTCCCTGACAGCCCCCAATGGCTCATAATAATTTTATTAACAGTTACTGTTAAAGCCATCAACCTTTTGTCTGTGTAAATATCTTAATTGCCTGAATACTAAGGAGGCATCTGATTGAGAGGGCTCATGAAAGTCTTTAAGGCACCAGAAGATTCTCTATTGTTTATGCAAGGCAAAGGCTCAGTGGAGCTCTTTGTTATATAAATATGTGCTGTCAATTCTGACTTATGGCCACCCTTTTCAGGGTTGTCTAGGTAGAGTACTCAAAAGTGTTTTATCATTCCATTGTTATTATCTCTGTCATAGCCGGAAACTATTGTTTCAAGGTTTGCTCCCTTAAACCAGCCTTTATGTTTCAGTGTAAAACTAACACTGCCACAACTGATACCTAAAGGTCTAAATTTTTCCAAATCGCTGCACATTCCCTGCAAATTGTTGTTTAAGTCTGCACTCTTTGTTCCCACTGAATAATATTTATTTTTCATAAGATTGCCCTCAATGACCAGGTACAACACTAAGAAACAAAGTTTTGTTAAAAGTATCTAAGAGGCAGGATTTTTCTTTTTTAATTTTAGTATGATATTCACTATCATATAACAGAAGAACTAAAGTTGTGCTAGTGTGCACAAATGAGGCTTTCACTAAAGATTTCATTCAACTAGGTCTTATATTCATTGATCTAGCTTTGTCTTCCAAAAGAGCTATAAGTACAGGGTTTCTGTGTTATATACAAAAAATCCTGAAATATTCTTGCATGCAAAGATGTTTCATTCGTGCTAACTAATATGAAGAGAGAAATAACTGCTTTTTGTTTGCTTGTTTGTTTGTTTTTGGTAGAAACAAATATTAAAGCTTTTTTTTTCTGGGCAACCTTATAAATTGCTTGAAAAATTGAGCTTCACCAGTCATGAGTGAAATTGCCTGAAAATGTGGTTCCTCCTTTTATTGACTCAAACAGTAGCAAAAGTCATAAGGGCAGACTGTAATTGTCACATAACATGCACACGAAATATACTAAAACATGACAGAGCAAAAGAAGAAGAAATGCATACAGCAATAATTTCGAAAATACAGTTACACAGCTTAGAAGCAATATTTCTTTATTCATTATACCAATTGCAATATAGAATTACCTGATCTGTAACATAAATTGAAAAATAACTACTTATTTATGCATATACACATTGAATCTATAGTAAACTTCCTTTCTTTCGAATCATTGATTTAACTAAATTTGTTAGGGAGTGTTGTGGTTGGTAGACAGCTTATGTAGCCCTCCTTTTCAAAATACTTTTCGGGATTCAAAAATGCACCTCTGAAAATCACTAAGAGAACCGCTGACATTCATCACCTCTGAATGGACGTGGAAAACTAGAGCAGACGTTTCCCATTGTCCCTCTCTCTGATTTTAAGAAGACTTCCAAAATGCTAGACCCTAAAATCTGATAAAACATGTAGCCTAATATATCTTGATTGCTAAACAAATCAGTCTCAGAATGGCACAATTGTATCCCCTCCTTAATTGAAGGGACTCAAGTATACCTCACAAAATTGTCAAAAAAAGAGAAAGAAATAAAGAAAGAAGAAAAGAAAAGAAAAGAAAAAGAAAAGAAAGAGGACATTAGTAAATACATTGGCCTGTATTCTGTTGCTAATCTCAACTATAGGAGTAAACTAATTGAATCACATGCTGAGTGGTAAGTTAACACATAGGTAAATAAAACTGAGCCAGTGAATCTACTTTAGATTACCAACAGGATACTCTAGGTATTATCACATTAAAGCAGCTATGATTTCAAACAATTTCGAACGGGGTCCCCAATCCCCAGTCCACAGCCCAGTGCCGGTCCGTGGCTTTAGCAGGACTGGGCTGCGGAGACAAATCTCCCCCCCGCACGCACACACCCCACGCCTACCCGCACACAGTGGTGCTCTGCCCACCCACAAGCATCCCCCTATACCCCTTGCCCACCCGTGAGTGTGCCCCACCCATCCACACTTGCACGTGGGCGCCCTGCCCATCTGCACATCTGTGAGCACACCCCCGCCCATGTGCACACGCCCTGCCCACCCGCAAGTGCAGGGGGTTCCCTGCCCCCTGCGCACAGACCCTGCCCCCCCAACCAGTTCAGAAAAGGTTGGGAACCACTGATTTAGAATGTTTCCCCCTAAGATTTTAAAAGCCTCTTGAATATGGGAAACATTATGGGAACATGTTGTCCGTCTAACACCTGGACCCAAGATGTGTATAGGACTTTATAAGTCATGATTAGCTCTTTGATTTGTATCCAGAAACAGACCAGCAGCCAGTGAAATTGTTGGAATAGATGTTTTCTGTTCTTGCTGCAAGTGGCTCTGATCAACATATATTTATGCTTGCAGAATGCATACTTCTATATAGGAACATCAGAAAATCTTCTGCTGACACCAGCAAGTATTTAGTGACAAAGATAAGATTTTGACAAAGATAAGAACGATTGAGATATCTGGCTGCAGAACCAGAGGTTACAAGTTTTATTCCCCACCATGCCTCCTGTAAATAGAGGCAGCCTGTGTCACCTTGGGCAAGCTCCACAGTCCTAGGATGCTCCCAGAAGAGGGGAATGGTAAACCACTGCTGAGCATTCTCTACCTGGAAAACCCTGGAAGGGTCACCGTAAGTCAGAATTGACTTGACAGCACATGATTATTATTAAGAAGACTAAACTTTAATTCATCTCTGGTCACTTGGAGGATAGCCCAATTAAACGTAGTCTCTTACAGTGATAAACCCCTGACACCTGTAATTCCAAAATTCATGACAAGTTTTATCTGAGGAAGTTAAGTCTAAATGAACAGGCACACAAAACATTGAAACAAGACTGTACTTTCCAGTGAATGACTACAAGAAGAGACCAAGGGACCAATGCTTCTTTGTTCAATTTGGGGCAGTTCCCTCTCTCACTGCTGGCCTCTGCACCAAAGCACAATCAGTAGAGGAAAGCTTTTCCAGGGGGTGTAGAGACCCTCAAAGGGAGGAGAAAATATGCTGGCACAATCATGACAAGCATGTCATCCAGGAACTGTACTGAGCAGACAGTTGTGGTAGATTCTGTCTTCAGGTACAAAGTGTAGCTCTATCTCAATGTTAGGATCCTGGGAGTATTTAAGGCATATTTTTGGAAACAATGAATAACTAATTAATTCCTGACTTAATATGTAAAAAGTCAAGTCAAGAGAACTAAAATTAGAAAGCTTTGTGATCAATTTTTCATTGCAAATGTGTAGCAGTGCCTTTCAGAATACAAACATCACTTGGATAACAAGATTATTATCTGGGCTGTTAGAAGCAGACTTTAAATTCACAAACAAACACCTCTATAAATGCAAAGTAAAAAAAATTCTCCTACATCACTGCTGCACCCTGGAAATCAGCAAGACCTCAAAATGTTTAATATAAAGATCTGCAAGGGAGTCTGTAAACAAATTCAGCTTTCCCACAAACATTATGTTTTTGTAAGCACAAGAAACTTACTGGTTCCCAGTGGTGTAGGGAGATATGAGGTGTGGGGTTAAGTGTATCCCCATTTAACTCTTCACGGACTCAAGCAAATTTTTGTTTCTCTTGACCCTTAACATGATATGACAAAGACTAAAGGAAAAGTGGAATCCAAGATATGAGGAAATTATTTGATACTATGTGTGATATTATCCCCCATGTTTCTGGCATTTTTTTGGCCATTTTAAACTAGTTTTGTTTTCCTATTTCAACAACAACAACCTATTTCCAGGTTCAAGGCTTCCCACTCCCCCCTCTCCAGAACCCGGCAGGGATCTATCCAGCAATTACTGAATCAGCTGCGGAGACAAAAATGGACCCACTCTGTTTCTCTCTGTTAAATTAAAATGCAAGCCCATGGGAACTAGGGCACAATTCCAGGAATATAACTCCATTCCAGGAGTAAGTTTAACTTGTGGATGACTTATTTGTCTGGGTTACAAAGCTATTAGTGCTTCTGGGAGGCGTTCTCAAGCTATATCGGCCTTCAGAGAACCGGTGTGTACCTTGACGTTGCTACAGCTCATAGTTTGGCTTAAAAGAAATGGGGGAGGGGTTTATATTAATAGTGGGTTATTCTACTTGTTACTTATTAGTAATGAGAGAAATGTCTTACTCATTTTTATTTGCAGGAAGCTTATGCGGTAAGCTTCCAGCTCCTTGTCCAGAAGGCTGAAGTGGGGCAATCTCCTCAACCACTTCCTCCTACAATGCCTGCAGACAATACTCAGAAAGGAGCACCGAGAGGGTGAAGTTTGCATTGTCAACCAATTTAATTACACAGAAGAAAATCTGTGCCATTTAAGGAGGCAATTTCAAAGACAAAGCAAATGACTTATCCTTGTGCTTCCCATGATTATTTTACGTTTTTACAAAGTACATACTCTAAAAATCCTACATAATGATCACAGGCAAACACTTAGATTAGTTTACCATCAGCTCTCAAAGCATTCTTCCCATCAAAAGGCATGAATAGTTTTTAAATAGAAATTACAAATACCTTATTGATAAGAGTGACAATATCACCTTCTTTGATTGTCAGCTCATCATCATTCTGCGCTTCATATGGGAATATAACTTTGCAATATTCCTTTACTGAAAGAGGAAAGATTGTATTTTAATGCACTATAGTACTCAAACAGCCACATACAGTGATAAGGAATACCTTTCTAAATGTTTATCTTGACATTGGCTTTAGAAACTGCATGAAGCATTAACATGATTTTCATGATACCAGAGAAAAATAATGAGTCCTTCTGTAGAAACAGTGATTTAGTAGAACTACTCTAAGCCAGAAATATTCCATTAAAATACTTTGATTAGAAAGGCTGTGCTCATTTGTCATTCATGTGTTAAGGAATACCCACAGGGAATAGCAGAGTTTTACTTTCTGCTTTCACCAGCGTGCCAGACCATTATGGCAAGTGGCAGGTCATATTAACATTTTTAATTTAATAGTTTTGACTACATAAAGAAATGTTTAATGCTACTAAATATTTCTATTACAACATTATAATAATGTTTATTCTTTCTTCTGATCCCCAGGGAAGATGCATAATTTAACCAAGGGAAGGGATACGGGAATATGGATGGAGATAGGCAAGCACTGGCCTTTCTCATCTTTGTTAATGACCATATAAATGTCCCATGAGGAAAGAAGAAGAGAGGCACTGCTTTCTATTATACCCAAAAGGGAACAATATATGCCCATTAATTTATATTTGGAAATAACTCCAAATATTTTGGAACTAATTCTACCTCTTTCTTTCCTAAATCTGTTGCTACAATGAAAAATCTTAAAAACATAAAATTAAATGCAGCATCAAGACAGTGGAAGCACTGGGACCTGCTTCCTCTCTCCCTGTAGTCTTCTAAGTAGGGATGTAAATCATTGTTTATTTTGTTCTTATGCACAAGAAAGACAACATTCTGAATTTTTCTCCACTGAGCAAGATTATAAGAGCTGCTGTGCACTTCCGGCATTTCAGCACTTTCTTGTGAAAAAATTGCCAAATATTGTTTTTTCTGAAAAGTACAAGGGAGTTCCCCCTTTTGAGGACAGAGATTCCAAGCTCATTTAAGTCCCAAATTTCCCAAGTTTCCAGAGAGCATTGAAAAAACACATAAACCATATTGCCCTAAGCTTTGATCTTTCCCTACCTCTCCCGTTGGCAGAGGCAGTTTCTACTAATACAGGTGTGTATCCTGGGTGTCAGTGAACTAAATAGGATGGGAATGGGCAAATTCAATTCAGATGATTACCATATGGGTGGGCAAGAAGCCTGTAGAAGGAATGGAGTAGCCCTCATAGTCAACAAAAGAGTGGGAAAAGCTGTAATGAGATATAATCTCAAAAACAATAGAATGATGTCAGTACGAGTCCAAGGCAGACCTTTCAACATCACAATAATCCAAGTTTATGCACCAACCACCAGTGCTGAGGAGACTGAAACTGACCAATTCTATGAAGACTTACAACAACTTCTAAAAATGACACCAAAGAAAGATGTTCTTCTCATTATAGGGGACTGGAATGCTAAAGTCGGGAGTCAAGAGATAAAAGGAACAACAGGAAAGTTGGCCTTGGAGTTCAGAATGAAGCAGAGCAAAGGCTAATAGAGTTTTGTCAAGAGAACAAGCTGGTCATCACAAACACTCTTTTCCAACAACACAAGAGGCGACTCTACACATGGACATCACCAGATGGGTAATACCGAAATCAGATTGATTATGCTCTCTGCAGCCAAAGATGGAGAAGCCCTAAACAGTCAGCAAAAACAAGACCTGGAGCTGATTGTGGTTCTGATCATCAGCTTCTTATAGCAAAATTCAAGCTTAAACTGAAGAGAGTAGGAAAAACCACTCGGCTAGTCAGATATAATCTAAACCAAATCCCTTATGAATACACAGTGGAAGTGAAGAACAGATTTAAGGAACTCGATTTGGTGGACAGAGTGCCTGAAGAACTATGGATGGAGGCTTGTAACATTGTACAGGAGGCAGCAACAAAAACCATTCCAAAGAAAAGGAAATGCAAGAAAGCAAAGTGGCTGTCCAATGAGGCCTTA